TGAGAAATAGGAAGAAGGTCAAAATGGCACTATTATGCTTTGGAACTCCTAAATTAACCCTAATTTTGTGTAATTATAAATTTGGAATTTCCACATTAATAACTAGAAACTTACACTTTGATTGCAGTCTATAATGAACTTACCTGTCTTGCCAAAAAGCCCGTTAAACTGCCAGTCTTAATGGTATCAATCGATTTATATGCTGTATTCCGAGGAGCTTGAATCATCAGAATTGTTGATGTCAATTATAAGGGGTTCAACTTGGGTGTCAATGATATTGTCCATATCCCACATTTTGGTTTCAACCTTCTCTTGGACATGGTCAATACATGTTCTCCATTTTGCTGGCGTAATTCTATCGACAGCAACATCAAACAGTTTTTTAAGGTCAGAAAACTTAAAAGTGCTGTTATTTGATGCCACGTATTGCTTGATGTCGACCCAAATCAACTCGATAGGATTCAGTTCGCAGTGATAGGGAGGCAGCCTGAGAATCGTTTTATTTTGGTTTTTGGCCATTTCGTCAACAATTTTTAAATCATATTTATACTTATGTCGCTTGACTATATTTATCAGCTCAGCTTTGACCATTGTTTGGTCGAAGTCGATCTTCTTTGAGACAAGCCACTGTTGAATGTCTGCCTTTTTGGTGGCCATTGTTGGAATTTTTCCCAATTTTCTGGAGTGGTACGGGGCATTATCCATCACAATAATTGCGTTATCATCAAGTGTCGGCAAAATTTTTTTTAACCAATTTTCAAATGAGTTACCATCCATTTATTCGTGATAGTCTCCAGTTTTTTTGGATTCAAATGCCCACAATGCTTCAGGAACAAATCCATCTACGCTACCTATGTGGCAAATGATCAGGCGTTTTCCCTTGCCTGAAAGTAATTAGTTATTTTACTTCTCAGCGAGCGCACTAAATGACGAAATTAAGCAACTTACTCTTTTTAGGTTAGTGTAGGATAGGGTCTTAGATTAGTTTTTGGGTGAAGGAAATACTCAGAAACTTGGATGAGATAGCAAAACTGAGTTCGGAGCTTCCAAATCATTGATTCGATCAGAAAATGAATTATCTGCATCCAAAAAAGTTCATATACTTCGAAACTTACCTGCAGGATTTTTCAATCCCGTCGAAAGGCCATCTAAAAAAGCCTGCCTTGAGGACCTCACAGATCTGTCTACCCAAACCTTTCCCTGCGTATGCCCCGCGTTCACCCATGTTTCGTCTAAATAATAAATTTTTCTTCCTTCAGCGCGGAATTGCCTAATTTTTCTAAGGTATTCTCTCCTCCAGATAACAATTTCCTCCTTTTCTATCAATAAACTATTCCTTCCTCTTTTCAAAAATCGAAAGTCTAGTTCTTTCAACAGCTTATGGAACGTAGATCTTTTAAAATTTGGCAGGTCCTCATCATCATTCACTTGCTTCAATATTTTATCTATTGTAGGTATTTCATTCCTGAAGAAAAAGTGATGTACTTTTCTTCTAATGGCACTTTTGTCAAAGTCATCTATTTTTTCGATGATTTTTTTTCTCGCTGGATATGTTTTTGGCTCAGATAGTGAGTGATTTTGTCTATATTCCTTCAAGATTTTGTAAACACTTGATCGACCTACTCCAGAAATTTCAGCAGCCTTACATACGATATTTTCTATAGCCAATCCACTATTCTCTTGCATCTGGTTCTTGTAGATATTTAGAATAATTTGTGTTTCACCTGCGCTAAGATGAAGCTTTTTAGCCCTTTTGCTGGGTGGCGTTAAGCTGATTTCAACCACTTCATCAGCTGTATCTGTGTCAGACATTTTAGACTAATATTAAATTTCCGCAAGAAAAATCAAGTCAAGACGTGCATAAAACGTTCGCGCTCATAAACGGGTATCCGTAACTGATTACAATCCTGTGCGTGGTGACGAACCATCAACGTGACGCTGAGAGTTCCCTCTACTATGCAGCGTTGCCAGGCTTAATGTCACAATGATCATGTTTTATTGGGAAAATTGTCAGAAATCGCCGAATGTTGAACAGAAACATTACAAGAAGTCTAACCTTGAAATGTGAGGCTACAAATCGATATTCTTATAGGGGGGAAGGGTAGGGAGCTGTTATGGTTCCAATTAACCTTGGTGAAAGTTGGAAACGGTAATATCATATATGGCATACATTCGGTTGAAGGTGTGTGCACGGAAAATAGATTGCGGATAGGATTTTAATAGATAAATCTGCACAAAAAAACACAAAAGGAGATTTTTGTATTTCCCTGAAGAATATCTCAAGGTTATTTCAGATGTATTCATCGAAACTTTATGGAAGGATTATCGAAACCTTATTTTCAATTGCGATAGGGCCACATACCTCGACATCGCATTAATGTGAAAAATAAGGCAATAGAAAAAAATTCCCTCACTGATGCTATCTCTTAGGAAAAATTTAACTATAAAGATTGCACAAAAATTTTCTTCACCTTTTTGAGCTTGTTTTCGCATCTCCGTATATGCCGTTCATAATTTGCTGCAGATCAAATTGGAATATACCTTTGTGATGCCATTTATTGTTATATAATGTCCTTTACAACAGTTATTGCACGTATTGCACCAACAGATTGATTTGTGATCCATGCAAATGTGATCAACCACTCTGACGAAAACTCGCCGAGCGTGGCAACCGTGCGACTTCGTCTGGAGGCTCGTCGCTACAAGCCAATCAGGAAGAGGCCGACAGAGCGCCATGGCTATCGATCACGCGTTGATCACGAATCAACCACTGTTTACGATTACTTTGTAGCTTCGTTAGATACACTTTAGTCTTATAAGTCCACAAATTGTAGTATAATCGACTTTATAGGGAAAAGCATGATGTTTTTCCAGTAAGAGGTTCTAACCAACACTAGTTGTGATAAACGATATTATCGCACATAAATTATCATTTTATTGCCAACGTATACCGTCTACTAAAGCTATTTCTTAAGTTTCGTTACTAAATGATTATACGAAAAAATATTCTCTATATGTACTGCATCCTTTGATCATTTGAACAGTGGATCCAATTTGAAACTGGTCTGCCAAAGCACCCTAAAATTGTTAAACGAGCAAATATTTTTGACAATCAAAAAAAACATTTAATTGTACCTGCATAAACGTGTTCTTACTGCTTGTTCCACGTACTACAATCTACGTGCCTGATTTCAAAATTTATATGCTTACTGAATTAGCTAGATCTATATGTACGATAATTCCATGTGTAATTTGTTTTATCAACCTATTTAAATGGCTGCTTTAAATCGCATATTAGCATTCCAAATGGCATATACAAATACATTACCTTCGCACAAATTACAGGTTATCATATAATATCAAATTAGCATCCATATACAAATTAATGCTTTTGGGTAATTGTAATATGTATAATGTATTCTTCAGCCAGATTAAATTTCAATTATTGAAAAATAAATAGGTATGTGGTTGTAATATCAATATATGTATTTTATTCAAAAGAGGCTTTATTTTGTAGGGCATCCAGAAATATATGACCAATCTCTCTTTACTTTGAACACAAAAAATAGTGTGACAAGTTTCTATTAACCATGCCCTACGGAGCTTTCTCAATAACTGCTGAACGAGTATATTATAATTTAACGCGTTTCACTTCCCACACAACTGGCGAAGTATTGTAATCGCAAAAAATTTCAAAAATGAGATATTATGTTATGGATGCTATATGACATGTGCAGGGTGTCCTATTTTTGATGGCATTACGGGGTATCTCAACTTGAGAGTAAAGGTAGAGAGTATTCGCAATACTGTGCTACTTTTTTGTGAAAAGACAGATGTCTGAATGAAATGTTCATAGCCGCCTTGCGTCTCTGTGATACAGAGCAAAATTGAAAATATTGCTCGTTGGGACCCCCCTCATATCTATGTTATCCTTTAACATACCACAGAGCTAAAAGCTGGCCCTTACACTATTTGTTACGTAAAATATGGAGGCGTAGTCAAATTTGTACTATGAGCGCCAATTTGTAACTATCAATCAAACTTAGTTTTTCAATGATTTCCTCGTTTGATTGAAAATTTTATAACCCACATACGTCAAAAGGTAAATAAATATTTATATAAACCTATTGAAATATAGCTGTGAATCTTCACAGGAGTTTTCATTGCTCTGTATAAAACAGCCTAACATGTCATATTTTTCAAAATGTTGTTAATTTTCGTTTTGGCCTTCGTAAAAAATATAATATTATACAAAAAATATAAATTTAGTAACTGACAGGCAACTCATCATTCGATTGGTCTACTAATCACGGCCTACCAATACTTATGCAGTACTTACCAAGAGTGTCGTATAGGGACACATTCCATGATTTATTGTTTAAAATACATAGCATCTCTTATATATTTTTTTAAAAACCTATGTTTGATTTATAGCTGAAAATTGACATCTCATAAAACAAAACTAACTACGTCACTGGATTCTATGTGAAAAATTGTATGAAATCCTGTTTTTGGCTTTGCGATATGTTAAAGGATAGCGCAGACACGAGGGGGTCCCAAAATGCAATATTTTCGATTTCGCCCTGTATCTCAGAAACGAAGCGGGCTATGGAAAATTTGTTTATACCATATGTCTATTCACAAACAAGTAGCGCAGTATTGCGAAAACAGCAACTCTCTGTCTTTACTATTAAGTGAGATACGTCGTAATATCATCGAAAATGGGACACCCTGTACATCACGAAAAAACATGTAATTTCATTATTCAGAGGATTTTGATCTTTGAAAAAATTTTAGGCGGTGGGGATTGTAGGAGGTGGGGGAAGGAAGACCTCAATTTTTTGATGTAAGTATATTTATACGCTCTCAGCCTTCATAACCCCATGCACCTTATAGACATATTTCACATATAGATTTCGCCATACGTTTGCCGAGAGATATACCATATATACTGGAATATATCATAGGTAAAATTCAATACACTCAATCTATTCCATTACCTGTACTTCTTTTGTAATATTCTCGTACCTTTTGTCGTTCATGTTATGACAAATCGTGTCGTTGTACCTGTGATTGACCGAACACGACTTGTAAACATAAAACGACTGTTCCACTACTGATGTGGTCATGAAGGCCATCATATACAGCACCAAGGTCGGTTCCACGGTTATGTAGCTTAGGTATTTGAGAAATTTATTCCTAACTGACACATCAGATCTTTCTTCCCCGTCCATCTGAAACAAAAATATAGCCATTAAGATTTATCTTCAATGAGAAAGCATTAATCAATACTTAGGTGTGAGTGATTCCTGTGTAAGGACTAAGGGACCATTCAAGAAACCTGTTAACTAACTATAGGACTAAACATCAAGGTTCTGGGGCTCGATCCGGCGTCAATGACCCTTAGTAAGCCCGTCGGTATACTCATTAGTCCAGATTAGACAAAAAAAAAGTGAAAAAAGTTTAGCATATACATATCTGAAAGTTTTAAATGGAACGGAGGTCTTTCTAATGACAAATACATAAAAAGTTTTTATAGACAATGGGAAAAGTCCAAAATTCAGTATTTTGCTAGAATAATTAAATTTTATAAATAATCGGTAAGCTGGAGATTTTAGAGCATAAAAAGACCTTCAATTTTGTTTTTTAAGAATCAAAGTCGAAAAACAGTTAAGCTGAATACAGAGCTTTTTAGCACTATTGAATAAATGTTTTTAACTCTTGCAATAACAATTGTAAATGGCTAAAAATTTCTGAGAATGAGGGCATCATTGGTGTTATTATGTGTGATAAATTTCAAACGGATCGGTTTATGCAAAAAGCTATTTTTTTATCCCAGAGACGAATTATTTAAGCAACTGTTGTTGCCCAACACATGGTCCTAGAACATTTTACAAAAGTGCAATGGATTCTTGAGGGTTTCAGGTTCAAGAATTCATGCAAAGAATTATTTATTTATTATAATGATGTTAAAAAATAGTCAAGCTTATAGTTATAAACATTTACAATAACTTCGCTATTAGATCAAAGGTCTTTAAGAAGTAGCCACCTAAAGTAAATGTACTCGCGTAAGTATTTCCGGGTGAGGTGGTGAGGGAATCAGCTCTAGCTCGATTTATTTTTTGAAATTGAGTCTTCAAATCGGAGCGCGCTGCAAACTTTTGCGTTATCTCATCATTTTAATTTGGGGTAAGTCTACCAAATAATGACATCTGGCACGTTTTCATTTTCCTGGAAAATCGGGAAATCTTGGAAAACTTAACACGTTGTATTCTTCAAAATTAAATTACTATGAAATAATAATAAATTAACCACAAGGCATTTACGTTTACTCTCACTCCAATAAAATAATTTATATTTTACAATAAAATTGTTTAAACAATCCATAATTCAGTTAGTTGGTATACTCTTAAAATGCATTCTAATAAATTGTAAATAATATTGATTCACGTTTGTCTTTCATTTATATTTATTTAATTTGCATTCTTTGTGTTATAATAATATTATGTAATGTATTTTTTATTATAATATTTTATTATTCAATTAATCTTGATTCTCCGTTCTAAGTCTTTCATTTGAGCGCACTAATTCTTCAATATTTGGATAACTCATTTCTTCAAATAATTCGTCGATTTTCTCAATCTGCTCTTCATTATCGTCAATTCCAATTACAGCAAGGTTGTAGCAATTTGTGTCATCATCACCATCATTTATGCACAAAGGTGTGCAATTTAACCCAGGTTTTTTGCAACTGCACCTATCCGTTTATTAGCAGGATTGATAGTATTGTCTGGTATTAAACTCTCCATAGTATAGATAGGTCCGAAACCGTTGTCACTTCGCCTACACCCGTACTTGGATCTTATTTATTCCCTAACCATGTATGTAACTGATAACACTGGACAACAAATTTTAGTTTTTTAATTGTATCTTGTGGGAAAAGTGCACTTCTTTGTTAATTTTGGGGCGCTGAATCCAAAAATGACAATGAAATAAAAAAATTAGTTGCGGTTTAGAAAAACAACTTTTTATTTTTAAGGATATATTAAAAAAAGTAACAAGATTTTTGCTGTTGTTTTATGGATCGTTTCTGGAGCATCTCTACCAAGAGTCCAACAGTAGTCTGCAAGCATGGAAGGATTCCACTTTGCCTGGTACCTTTTTTCCATTGTTGAAATATCCTGATGAAAACGTTCGCCGTGCTCATCACTTACGGCTCCGCAATTGTCAGGAAAAAAGTCCAGGTGTGAGTGTAGGAAATGTATCTTAAGAGACATATTACAGCCCATCTTTTGATACGATGACAGCATATTTTTGACAAGGGTTTTATAGTTGTCAGCTTTTCTATTTCCCAAGAAATTAGTGACCACCAGACGGAAATCATTCCAAGCAGTTTTTTCAATACCTGTTAAAGTGTTTTCAAACTGTGTATCTTACAAAATATTTCGAATCTGTGGCCCAACAAAAATACCTTCTTTAACCTTTGCCTCACTTAGTCTTGGAAATTTCTGACGCAGGTATTGAAAAGCTGACCCATCTCTATCTAATGCCTTGACAAAGTTTTTCATTAGGCCCAACTTGATATGCAGTGGTGGTAATATTTTTTTTTCGAATCTACTAATGGCATATGCTGTACATTTTTTTGACCTGGCTCTAGGAATTGACGAACAGGTCAGTTTTGTCTGGTGTAATCAAGTGCCTTTGCCCGACTGTCCCATTCACACAAAAAACAGCAAAACTTTGTGTAGCCTAGCTGCAGCCCAAGTAAAAGTGCAACAACTTTCAAATCGCCACAAATATGCCATTGGAGCTCATCGTATTTTATGCATGTCAATAGGTACTTCATATTGTCATACGATTCTTTCATGTGAACTGCATACCCTACAGGAAGAGATGGTAAAATATTTCCAATATGCAATAACACTGCCTTTAAACTCAATGTTGAACTGTCTATAAACAATCTCCATTCTTCTGGGTTATAGTTTATATTTAAAGCCGCCAGTAAGCCGTTAATGTTACTGCAGAAAACCAAGTTATTCTCCATATTGAAAAATGGTTCTAAGTCTTTGTGGCGTTTACGAAAAACACATACCGAAACATCGTCTTCTAACAAGTTCCACTGCTGCAGTCTTGATCCAAGTAACTCTGCCTTACATTTTGGAAGTTCTAAATCTCATACAAGATCATTTAATTCTGACTGTGTTATTTTGTGCGGTTGGTGGCATGACGTGCTCGGTATAAAATCAGGATCTCTTGACGTTGATGGCATATCTTCTTCCTGACGAATCACTCGATCGCCATGATCTGATTCGTTTTCTGATTCGCAAGTGTAGGATTCTGAGGGTTTTGGAATAGGATTTTCGTCACTGTGAGGCACAGGTCTCATCGCAGATGGTATGTTTGGGTAGTTAATAACCGATTTCTTTTTCTTGGACATACCTGTGGCTTGTCCAACACAAGGTACCATGCAAAAGTAACAATCATTAATATGATTTGTAGGCTCTCTCCAAACCATTGGGACAGCAATGCGCATAGACCGTTTTTTGCCATTTAACCAGCTCCTCAGACTGGAAGCTCATGTATTACAGCAGATGTGGGGTGCCCACTGTTTTTCTTGATCACCTAGTTTACAACCGAAATAAAGCTGATATGCCTTTGTTATTAGTGGAGTAATAGACCGTCTCTGAGACGCAAAAGTCACATCACCACACACGTAACAAAACTGATCTGGATTGTTTACACACTTTCGAGACATCTTGCATGAACGCTATCAGCCAACTGAGGAAAAAATGGCTAATATAAAACAATATAATGTACACGTATGTATAACGTAACACAATCATGCCGATTACATCATCTTTCCTTGCCGAATATAAAAATGTAGCACGTGCATTCTTGTGAATTACAGTATATTAACTCTGTCACAGCAGGAACACATATAATTACCGTATCTCTAAAACTTGAACTAATATTGAAAAAATAAAATTCATTCCGGTTTTAGCACATTAAAAATAGTAATATTTTGTTGATTTTATTTAGGATATTTTTTGGCTGTTGATCAGTGTAATATACCCGTAATATATGCGTTTTTTAACCACCTTTCTAGGTCAGCTTGTTAAAATAAGTTATATGTAAAAATAACAGAGTTATTGTAAATGTTTATAACTATAAAAATTGCTCTTTCTGTAACATCATTTTTAACTACAATTTTGAAATAAATAATTATATTTTTGCATAAATTCTTGAAGCTGAACTTTTGTAAAGTATTCTAGGACCATATCTTGGGACCAATTGTTTAAATAATTCCTCTACATAAACTATTAAGCCGATCCGTCTGAAATTTAGCACACATATTAACACCAATGATGCTCTTATTCTCAAAATTTTGAGAAATTTACAGTTGTTATTGCGATAGTTATAAACATTTACTGATTATATAATTATTAAAAAATAAAATTGAAGATCTTTCTATGCTCTAAAATCTAAAGCTTACCGATTATTCAAAAAAGTTAATTTGAAAATTATATAAGCAAAATACTGAATTTTTTCCATTGTTTATAAATATCTGGCTGTATATTTTTATGTATTTGTCGTTAGAAAGACTCCTACATATTAGAGATGAGATGTTTAATAATTTTTAATATGTTCGGGTGGATTGATATTTTTAACATGTAACGAAGGTATCTGTCGTTTTCAACAACCCCACTGCCCCCGTCCTTTTGTTTTTATACTGATTACAAGTTCTATCTTCTCTACGTTCATTTTGAAACACCTTGTGGCTGCAACCTCAACGACGAAATCCTGATGAAAACTCCATAGAGAATGCCGAAACCTTGATTTTATCGTCAAAAGATTCAACTTAAGCCTAAAAATTTGCCAATTTCCCAATTAACTATATATATATATATATGAAGAATTATGTCTGTCGATCTGTCGGTCTGTCAGTCTGTCTGTCGAACTGTTCATACCAACTTCTACTTTTCCACAAAACAATGGCTTCCTCCTGCTTTCAATCATACTATGAATATTATCGCATTCTTTTAATTGTGCTTCGCTTATCACAGGCATAATACGCAGTACTTTATACATACAGTGGCTCTTCTGAAAGGTCTCCCTTTCCAATACTTGTTATTTGAAAAGGTCAAGGTAGCATGCTGAAATTCGGGGAAATTTACGCATAAATGCTATAATATTTTAACGTAAAAATAACAGTTGAAAATATCAAGATCATGGCTAGACGTCAGTGCCATCATGTTAAAATTTTCCCAATTGAAATGAGTGATCGTGTGATACTTTATTTTGAGTACTTGAACGCCCTATAATATGACATTTCAAAATGGAGGACTGGGATGCTGTCAGATTTGAGTGTTTTAATATATGTATTTCATCGCCTAAGTATAACTCAACAGCTACTCACCAAAACGATATAGTATGATATCAATCTTCTATTGGAAGAGTCTATCTGAATGTGCAATAAAATATAAGACATTCAGTTTAAACAAAAGTGACATATTTTGACAAATTTGTAAACGGCATGATTCATATTTTCATAAGTACCTAATATCGTAAGGGCATCTATTTATCCGTAAAAAAAATTCAAAAAACACGTTGCTAAGTAATATGTTAACAAGAAGGAGAGGATTTTTACACCTACACGAATGTTTTTTGTTAAAAAAATATTACTTTTCATTGTTTTTTCGATTTTTTTGACAGAAAAAAATTAGATGCCCGAATGGTATTTGACAAGACTATTTCATGAGTAACAGATTACCGGTGTCCTGGGAGACCATAATTACTTGTTATCAAAGATATTGTAATTTTTGGTGACAACAGCTGTCCAGTTTTACCGCGAGTAAACTCAAAAAAACTGCTGACAGATGCTGTCATACAATTGTTCTATCTAAAAACCATTTGTAATTCAAAACTGCGCGTTTGTGATTGGTAGAAATAGTCATATAAATTCGGATAGACCGTGAATTGACCCTTTCAAGAGAACATTGATATATATAGCGCTTTGATGATTGATTGTTGAGTTATATAATTTTAAGAAATAGTGATTTTATATTCTGTGGCTATAACGTGGTGATAAGGAGCTCCAAAATGGGGTATCACACGACCCAACACTCCATTCAAAAAATATTCCAAAATATCCCCGAGCCGCCATCACGAACTGTCACATTTACGTTAAAATCTAGCACCTATTCATGAATCAATCTTATTATCCCGAAAAAACGACGAAATCTCATCTTGCAGACTAGGTATTTTTTAGTGTACAAATAGTTCCACGTTTGCTTGCTATGATCGTTGTTCGCTGACGTTTAAGCAACACAGCTACAAAACAAGTTCACAACAAGTGTATAACAGCTTCTGCTGAGTCAACATCTTATATAAAAACCTACGAAATGTCAAAAAAACTACGAAATGTCAAAAAAAACTACGAAATGTCACTCTTCAAGATACCTAATACCCGTACCGATCCATTCAAAAAAAAAAGACTTTTTGAAAAGCTCTGTACCTATGCCCTGTGAGGCGGTTGCATTGCGATATGAAATCTTGTTCCCTGTATCTTTCCGCCACTGACATTCACAGATGATCAAAATTAAGTAAAATGTTGTAGATACATAGGTAATGTGAATGCGCTTTCCCCTTTTGTACCTCCCATTTCCTTATCTTCAAAACTCAACAATGCTTGTTAGACTAGTATCAACGTTACCTGTTAATTATTAAGTCGATGCCTATGAATTCCACTTTATCCACAGTACATACGCATAAGCTAATGTTTTTAGGAAAAAAAAGCCTACCTTGACTGCTGCATAAAAATGATAAGACACATTTCGCGCCATTCACTATTCAAATCAAAACAGTTGCGTTGAAACAATTGAGCCAAGTACACCGCGATACCTAAATCTCACACAAGATCACTGAATGCTTAGTCAATTTGTTGAGACTTACTAGTGAATGATAATTCTAATGACACAGCTACTGGATGGTGGTAACATTACGCTGACCAGAAAGTCTCAGGTAGACCGTTGTAATAATTGCTAACCCAACAAAAACAGTAAAAAAGCGGGTACCTGATCCTAACCTCAATAGAGAATGTGAGAGGTTTAGTGTCCTAGCGCGTGAGCGCGTGTCCCAGTTCGTTGCGTCGTGTCGGTTGCATAACGAAAGTTTCGTTGGATCAATACCAAAAGCTCGTACGAGGGAAGCTTAAAATATATCTCCTGTATTTTGTGATATAATAGGCATGTGGTAAGCACATGGATAGTCTAGTTTATTTTTGACCTAACACCAGTGGCATGGTCAAGATGGAATTCAGTTGTTACCTCAGTGCTCGTTTTGTTTCATTCCATGTCTGTGCGTATCTAGCTCACCATGCATCGTGTATTTACAGCGTTTTTTGTGGAAAAAGGAAAGTTTCGATATAGTTATTTACCTCAGCTCTGACTAATGGACATTATTGTGCCAATTGAGGAAGGTGTTTACATGATCATAAGATATCCAAAAACATCACCTAATAAAAAGTTTAATTTGTAATGAGAAGAAATTGACTACTGCAGCTGCTGCTGATACAGGGGCATGAAGTATATGAATAGAACAAGAAAAGCAAGAATAGACTTTTAGAATACGATAGAAGGGGACCGTCACTTTACGTGAATGCATATATGTATCATGATAGACACATTTCATTATGGTTAATTTTCTTCTTTGGATATCCAATTATCCTTCGTTTTAAAATTGGACTTGATACGTTCGCGTGTCTATGGGGTGATCATCAGGATATACCTGAAACAGCCATTAGATGTTCCTATGAGGAATCAGTGAATACTTCATGATGATTTAGTGGATATCCGTTGGGTATATTAAAAACAAAATCATTATGGTTTCCGGCACATAACATTGCTCTTGATATGAAAGCGTTCGATCAGCTGTGGCACGCTACCCTCTTATGCAAGCTTCCATCCTATGGCATCCCAGAGAAGCTTTGCAGATGGGTGGCTGACTTTGTCTCTGGTCGCAAGGTATCCATCGTAATTGACGGATTCTCCACAAGTCAACGCGGGTCTTCTCCAGCGATCGGTCTTGGCTCCGACACTGTTCCTCTTACATATCAACGACCTCCTTTCGTGTACGATCAGCCCAATCCACAGCTTTGCTGATGACAGCACTCTACATGCAGGAATTCAGAGCGACAAGCCAATCTCTATCGGTGAGCTATAAAAGAGAAGACTAGCAGCGACATCCTCTCTGATGAGAGACCTGGAGGCTATCACTGCTTGGGGACGCAACAATCTTGAACAGTTTAATGCTTTCAAAACACGGTACTGTACCTTGACGAACAAAAGGCGTCCTAGCGCTCATCCGGTTTTGATGGATGGCCGAGTTCTGCCAAAGAGCCATTCATTTCCGCTGGTCGGAATCCATATCACCGAAGACTTGATGTGGCACGAACACAACTCGACAAAAGCTAGGCTATTTGCTTAGGGCTAAGAAGAACTGTTCTCTCGCTCTATGCAAGGCCTAGATAAGACTTAGCCTCGAGTATTGCTCATACGTTTGAGGTCTGCCGCCCCGACTACATTATCTATGCTCAATGATGTCCAGAGGAGGGCTATTCGACTGATCGATGACTCTTCTCTAACAGACAGTCTCGGCTCCCTTTCACACCGGCGGGCCGTAGGCGATCTAGCTCTCTTCTACCGCTACATCTACGGGCTTTGCTCATCAGAGCTCTCCTCCACGATGCCGCCGCGGGATGTGCCTGCCATCCTAACCGTGTTGAACTTAGTACATCCAGAACTGGCCGAGACGACCGCTCCTTTGTCCCGAGGTTGACGAGATTGTGGAACAATCTTCAAGAGGAGCGGTTTCCCAGTTCTACTAACCTTAGGCAGCTCAAAAGTCGGAATAACAAAATTTCGTTGGGATCCTCATAGCAGTCGCGGTTCCCTGGCATTTAGGCTTCCGCCTGCGTGGCTGCTTCGGTTTAAAAAAAATATATCCAGATGGATATCCATTGGATGTATCTATCCTCCCAGTGAATATCAACCGTGAAAATCTGATAGACAACCATTAGATTCATGTGTGCGCTCTGGGAAGACTGCCAAATCACCTGATGAGAATATTCTTAGAACATCTGAGTATCTTGAAGACCACATTCTTAAAGCATACTTTCATTGGATATGCTATAGGACCTTGCCAAATCACCTAATGCGAATATTTTTAGAACGTACTGCAGCATTAGTTTCAAATTCAAAATTGATTTCGACCCTTGAAATTGATTCCACGTTTCAAGCTTCTACATCGAAATCATTATGGCAGTGTCAAAATTTTCATAGCGCGTTAGACATTCTGACGCCACTGGTTCATCGAAATTAGGCCTCAGGTGACTTGGGTTCCAACTTATATAACTTTCTTCTCTGAAAAGGAGTGCCGTGGAAAAGAAATAGCTCACATACCCAAAATCCATTTTGTATCAGTGCACCTCAATTTGTCATAGTTTCAGTGATATCGTAGTTATATATCCTCACTTATGAAATATAATTTTCAAACCCTCAAAACTTCAACTTCAAAGGTATATATTCGCATTCACTCGGAAAAATATTCTGATTCATTTTTTGTACAATCTCATTTAAAACAGATCTTTTTTCACGAAGGCAGGCTCAAAATTCCAAAAATGAATTATTTCGATTCAGTGATTTGTAAGATTCTATATAAAAATGTTGTAATGAACTTTACGCCAAAGTTGATTGTTTTCGGGTATAAACGATTAAATATTTGAAAAATTGCTTAATGTGCAATTTTCAATCCCGAGAGGATAACATGAAGAAACGAAAGTTTCTATGATGCTAAAGTTCCTAAATATTCTTCAAACATCCATTAACTATATCTAAATATTTGTTGTTGAATTGCCAAAAAAACAGAATGCCGAATGATAATGTTGAGCAGATGCGATGGTACCTCCTGGATTGCAAAACAGGCTTCATTACAAATCCGAGGTAGTAATATAATATTTCTTTGGCCACACCAGCAATGCATAATACAGAACAAAGACTATGTAAAACATGTTTTGCTAAAGTGGTTTGTGAAGTGTTGTGAAAAAATGGCGTCAAGCAGGTTGACTCTGCACTTCCCACGGAACGCCGATATGAAGGACTACGTTCAGCACACCTTCTGAGAAAAATCTTAGTTATGCACATGTAAAACATGAAATTTAAGCATCAAATCCGTTAAACAGGTCCACGTAATAAGTCCATAGACATTATTTCCTGTCATACGGGTATTTTTTATTCTAATAATTTTTTTGGCCATGACATTTTTTTCAATAATGATTAGCACTCTCTGAAACGAAAAAAAAAGTTTGGGCGAATTTTGTTTTTTCCGTTTTTGGCCTTTTTCTCCACTGCCACTGGACCGATTTCCAAAACCTACATAGCTTTTTCGCTCTTGGCATAGTAGTAACCTTGTGTGGATGGAAATTTCATCAAAATCCTACTGGCACTTTTCAAGTTATAAATGGGCCTAGGATTAACGGACAGGCATAAAGACAGACAGACCGAAAAATGACAGACAGACGAAAATGAGTGACATCCAAAATCATGTACCTTCTGTTTGGTAGTAATTTCTAACCAGTAGAGTTGCAAAGCTTTCGTTCGCTGTCCCCCGAGACCAAGCCTACACCATGCTGAGGAGTTGCCAAATAGCACGAAATATCTGTCCATGGTTGGCCGTCTGTGGTCAGAATAACGAAAGCTATATTACTAATGTCTAAACAAGTTTTAATCAACATCTGAGCAAATTGATCGAAATAAATAAAGTCTAATTTTACTCGGTACGGATCATTTAGATCATTTAGAATATAGAGGATTTTTCAGGCTTATTTCCCTCAATACTTTTCAATGTCTGAAGCAACGATTCTCTCGCATAACTAAACTTTTTTGAATCCCTACAAAGGAAATGGTGCGTCTCCAATGAGACCCGGAGCTTAGTCGACAGGAGACCATAGGTTAAATGCAGATAAGAAGTAACTACGAGCCCCTTCCCACTTCAGTTGGCCCAACTATTGAAATCTTAGTTTTTTTCTTATCAAACACAAATAATAAAAATGTGGCAGGGTGTTATAGGTTTAAAATATTAACAATGAATATTTTGATAATATATAGTAGAAAACACCAACTTTATCACTCCCTAATCAAATTTGCAGCATAAAAATAACACATGTCGTAATTACAGCATATTAACCTATTTTCATTTCAATGCAAAATAAAAGCCATGACAATTGTTTTTTTTAATCACAGCTGTCAGAATACTTTTGGGTAGTTAAGGTTTTCAAAATGGGTAGAGGAAAGGTTATTAGTGAGAAAATTCGGTCACTGATAATTAAATTCTGGGAAATCAAACTCTGAAATTGCAACTTTGTTTGTGTTATCGCAGTACAGTGTGAGAAATATTGTTAGAAGATATAACGTAACTGGTTCAGTTAATATTAAGCCACGATATGTGAAAAAAAGTAATATCACAAATGCCGACCGAAGAGCATTAAGAAGAATAATCGTGAAAAACAAGAGCGCCAATTATTTACAACTAAGTTCTCTGTGGAGTGACGCTGTTGGAAGGAGAATTTCGAGGTCCACAACTCATAGAGAGGCCCACAAACTGGGATTTAGCACTTGCAAGGTAAGTTTTCTTATAAAAACCCTAAAGTTGCACAACTTGTTTATCGGCCAAAGAAAAGCCACTATTAACTCCACTGCAAAAGAAAAATCGGCTTAGATGGGCTAAAGAACATAGACAATGGACACCTCAACAATGGTGTGCAATATAATGGAGTTATGAGGGCCGATTCGAAGTTTGTGTTGGTGACAGTCGCAGTAGACTAATTCGCAAAAAAAATGAAGCATACCATGTTGACTGTCTGAAGAGAAAAGTGAAATTTCCAGCATCCATTATGGTCTGGGGCAGTATGTCATAAAAAGGAGTAGGAAAACTTCATTTTATTGATGGAAATGTGGATACAAACAAATATTTGGCAATTTTAGAAGAATCGCTTTTACCAGTGATGGAAGAATGTTTGACATCCGGACAAGATTTTGTGTTTCAGCAAGATGGTGCAGCGTGCCATACCTCAAAAAAGGCTATAAAATGGATGGAAGAAAATAATGTACCACTTTTGAAATAGGTT